GATTACAACCAGTCATCACTGCGTCTGCGTGTGTTAAGGCCTGGCTCAAATTGTCGTTCCGCTTCTCGCTTTGGTTTAAGTCGTGAATAAGTTGTTTGCAAGGTGTCGTTAGTTTTTGCCATCTGTTGAGAGGTCTTTGTTCTCAATTGGTGTACCACCTTTCCAGAATCAGTAAAGAGTTCGTGCTGACTGCCTTGAGAAAAATATATGAGATGATAGACTGCCTCCGTACATTGACCCATCTTCATTATTTTTTAAAACCTCTAGAGATTATGTTTCTTGGTTATTTTTTCATGTGCACACAATGCATCTCTGCCCGGGATCTCTAAAACAAAGCCGGTAACCCCCATCTTCTCTTGCATTTCCGATGCAAGTAACTCACTATCTATAACCAAAGTAAAAGTTTGAAAAAATCTACATATTAGAAGATATACTTGGTCGAAACCCTAGCCCGTTTTTTCCTTACTGCTCAGTGTCAATTTATACGCGGCGTGTCTGCTTCTGATGACCACTATTTTTTCTATCGATGGATCACTATCTCTATCCTTTCCTTCGTTATGTGAAAAAAATGACATTTATTTTTGCTCCAAACACCATCCAATTAGCTCTTTGTCTAAAATTGCAAAAGACTGGCAACATTTGGGACCATTATCTTTAATATTTTCAGCTAAAACCCACGAGACCATGTTGAGTTTCTTGGTTATTTTACACATTCTTTATCTCTGAAACGAAGTTGGTGACCCCAGTTTATATCACATTTGTGACACAATCGAGTAACTTCCTATTTAACCGCAGTAAAGACTAGAACAGATCTGCATATTGGAAGATATGGAAACGGCCTTGGTCGCAACGAACACTAGCTCTTCTTTCCGCGATCCAAGCAATTATGTGGCAACAAGAGAAATTTTCTCTTGATGGAAACCAGCTATTGGGATCACTGGACGCCTCGGAAATCGCAAAGGTGGTGGCAACGAAGATATTTCTAATGCTCACGTAAGGGACTCCTGTGAGATAATAGACACTATTCTTTACAAACCAGGGATTTTATACAAACAAAATTAGTTCTTTATTTTTATATTGCGCTTTAATGTTTTAAATCTATTTTTAACGTCACAATACAAAACTCTAACACGTATTACTAACATACGGGGGCACCTACTGGATCTTTTCGGTAAATTGTCTGTTCAGAAGGCCTTTACTTCCGTGGATTGATAAAAGTGTCCATTTTGTGTACCAAAAAAAGGCAAGCTATGACTTCCGGAAAGGCAGTAAGACGTAAGGTTTTCGGGAAATGAACAAAACGGCCCTGTCTATTTTGCGAAGACTCAAGTTCCCTTAGAATGATCGACAGGTAAATTATTTTGACTATTTTTAGCGCGGCTTAAAATTAACCTACAGAGTTAATTCAAATGAAAGCTACTGAGTGCTTAGCACTGTTACGTCATAACATACCACGGATTTCTACAGGGTGTAACTTGTATTTCTTGGCTTGGTAGCAACGCGAAATAGCGTTTAGGCTAAAGCGCCGCGTTCAATATATCTACGATAACTGCAAGTGCTACATATCCAGTTGACACCATTGATAAGTGGACGTTTTTACTAAGATCAAAACTAACTCATTTATTACAAAAAACGCCTCAATTTGATCACCGCCAAAAACCTGTAATAGTACGGGCGGTTCATTATTGATTGCAGTGCTTCCCAATCCTTCCCATGACATCTGGTATTTTGTAATAGCAATGTGACGCTTTGAAGTTATAATAATTATTTCTACTACGAGTAACACACCTTTGACACCTTTTGCAAGAATAAAGTTTTTGAACACACCCAAACCGCCCATTAAACCGACCAGATTTTGTTTCTTTTACGCTTACATCGTTCGGCAGAGAGAGTTTACTGTAATTATTAAATTAAATAACTAAGGCAACAAAAAAGCAACAAAAGAAAGCACAAACATAAATTAGTTCAGAATCACCGCATAATTTGATAAGAATATGAATCGCCACTTTGCAAGACTTCCTTTATCGTCCATGACTTCCTGTTTTGATATCTGCGGTTTACCACGCACCACTTGAAAGGAGGAAGACGGAACGAGCCCTTGACACCAAATACAAATGTTTGAATACAATACAATGTTTCAATTTCCATTTGGCGCATGAAGCAGGGAGAATGAGGGTCTGGCAGAATGAAGTAATTTTTGTTTCTTGAAGACTTCCCCTGGTCTGAAATCGTGGCAAAAGCGACGTTTAGCAGAGAACTGCACTCTAAGGGTGTAAACACTGGTACAGCTGGCTTGAAAATTGATGAATCTGACCAACCAAACTGTGAGGCGATTTCTTTTAGAAGGTAACTTTTTTGCCCCCTTCTGTGATGTGTCTGCTCCCCCTCCCCCACCGGGGGGAGGGAAGCAAGAGCTCTGAAGCAATCCCGTTTTCGTTGCATTTGGTTGGCCCATTTTCCCAATTTATACATGCATTTACAGCACTGAAAACTTTACAGATCAGTCGAGAAAGACACATGCCTTAGACCAAATCTGTATCAACAAAAAGCACCCATCGAAACATCTCATATACTGACGAGGGCATCTTCTATTACTGCCCCCGTATTTAGTTCCCGCGATAAAGTTGCGAAACAAATCCTGTGAACAAAGTACAATGACTGTCTGGACCACGAAATGGTTCTCGCCTCGTCTAACAATGCATTCAAGTCATAGCGATACCCGAAAAGACAATTACATTATGGAACTCTACGGAAATGCAAAACGACAATTTTCGAATTTTATATTACATGTTGTGAAGGTATGTTAGTTTACTCGTCCCATTTATGGAAGAGTTGGCTGATCCACGATATTACACAAGACGCTGCCTTGTGGCGTCTGCCAAAAGATCAGTTTTACAAGGAGGTTTAATTGTCTTTCTAAAAGACATTTATCAAATGGTTCAAGTTAGGCTTTTCTTCTGTTGGCTGGTAGCTACATCCGATCCGCTTGTTGTCCTTGTGCCCACGCGGTCTCTCTAAAACTTTCAGACAAAAAAAATATAATTCGCTTTGTTTCTATCTTTACCTAGTAGCTTCAAACCAGTTAAAACGTCCGCTCAGCTTGCTTTAACTTTTGTTTTATTGGTGTTATAATTTTTATTACACTTAATCCACTTGAAAGTTTCACACCGACTGATTACTTGGTCCTCTGGGTGAGAGCGGATGTGATCGAACAATTCCACCACTGTATTGTGAAAGCGTAGTACGTGAAAAACACTTCAAACAGATCATATCTACATAGCAGAAGTAACTTTTAGAAGTTTGTAATAATTTGCGACTTCCTTTATTTGAAAATACCGGACGTCATAAAAAAAATAATTGGAGATATTTTTAGTTTATGGTCTCTTGTCGCAGACGAGTGACAACAAGAGGTCAGACAAATAACAGAAGTAATCGACAACCAGTAGGGGTTGTGTCAGCGCTGTGATGTTTCACAACACTTTATAAATGAAATTGTAAAATCATACAGTCTACAGAAATAAATAAAGATTCTTTTCTGGATTTTTAGGGTGTAGCAATCCCGATAGGAAATGTGGTGAAAATGAAAATTTCTGATTTCAAAACTATGACAATGATTCTAGAACTCTTGTACTGATAGAGTAATCCACGAGTCCTGTACTTCGTATTAATAAATGATCGTGCCTTTACATTCTAGTTATTTTGATGTGACCGGGCAGAATATTTTACGATAATATAACCCTTCCATGCAAATTGAAGGCAGGCGTGCGTGACATCATTCAGGAAGCCAATCTAGTGGTGTGACTGACAGCACCCACACGGAAGCCATTTGTTTTCGTCACAGTCCTGCCTAAGTAAAATATCTCAATGTAATGAATGTAAACAAGCTGCGCATTCTAAGCCCTCCTTAATTCAAGCTGAGGTGTTGATTGACTCGGTGGCATTTCCACGAACGACGGCTCATTAAGTATAAAATCACCTCCACGACAGACGTTTTAGAAACAAACTTGGAGAAGTAAGGTTAAGCAACCGGCCAATCAACGACATGGCGACTTTAAATGGGTTTTCGGCGATTTTTGCCTTACTTCTTATAGCAGTGAATTCTCAAGAACTGGTTAAAGGTAAGTCAAACAACATGTTTTGATCGCAAGAAAAGCGATTTATTTTGTTAGGAAGCTCTACCCAGTAGAAGTTCCCCACGGGAACCTATGTGAAACGAAATTGCCAGTTTCGCACGATGCGTGAACAAAAATCGATAGCGCTTCGTTTTCACCCATATCTTTTTAAACCGTTAAGTCTGAAAATTTCGTGGTACATTATCTTTCATATGATGATCTTCTTTATTCTCATTACTTGTTTGCTTGAAAATGTGCTGATATTGTACGAGGAAGTTAGAAGTTGATCATTAAAAGTTGTTACGATGTAGCGAAATACAGCCGTTGTCGAAACCTCTTGGTGCGCGAAGATGCTGTGAGAGCGATATTGGCAAGATACCATTTTCATTAGAATCAAATATCAGCCGTTGTTCCTTTGATTCTTCATTTTCCCTTTTCTGTGGCGAATTTGATTTCCTTTTCCGACCTTTTCCTTCTTCAGTAAGAGTTAACTCGTGAACTACAAAAGTTAAATTACGATTCAAATTGTACGAAAGCTTTGTGGCGCAAATTGCGTATCAGTCAAGACAATTCAATTAAGCCCACCCGTATTGAAAGACGAACTCATCTTATCAATTATATTGTGTTCGCTTTTAGTTTTTGTTAAGCTCCTTTGGTAATCGTAGATATCTGAAGAATTTTTCTGATGTTGACAAAACTGAAAGATGCCCCCTTGTGAGATACATTGCGGAATTTT